GCCCTCACCCCCACCCCCCTAGACTGGCGACACTGCCCCTGGCTCACGGATTCCCCGCTCCACATTGAAGGGTTCACTGTAGCAGGAGGCAGTGGGACCCGTAACGAATGGCGTCCTTTACTAGTCAGTAGGAGTACAAAACGATGCGTTCCCAACTTTACAGCGAATTTGGCAAAAACAGCGCGGCGCCAAACTGACGTCAAGCGGGCAAATGGCGCCAGCGCCAAAAATGAATCTCATTTTCGTGATCAGGGCACTCGAATTACCCCTATAGGCAAAGTTTCGACGAAATATAAAATTTGAGATTTTTGGTGGTGGATTAGCGCCGAGGTTACTGCTACATAGATTTTGTTTCTGCCAAGTATAAAAATATTTATAGCCCTATTTCTGTGCCTATTCTCACTCTCACCTGAAATTTGTCAGTTGTAATAAGGCGTCTTTTCTACGGGAACTAAGTAATCCATTCTTTTTATTATTTTTGCGTTTTTTTTATTCGTCCGTTGGGTTTCATCCAGACGGGATAATATGTGAGTGACAAGCTTTGCTTTACTTACTTTCTGGCAGTAATGGAGTTTCCGTCGTTGATGGTCTTTTCCGAGGTGCATAAGTTTACTTTAGTTTAGAATCAAAGTAACACTCGAAGATTTGCAGGGTCAGTTTTTTATGCGTTCATTCGGGTCAGGAACCAATATCGACCCGAGAATCGAGGAGAGAGATTGGAAACGTTGGCCTGGGCTAAATTCCATCGGCCCGCGGACCGTGCACGTGGGATCAGCGCCACTTGTCACTGCTCCACCTTAACCTCCACCAATTATGACTATAGCTGAGATTCTTCTCTAAACTAAGGGCACTTAAATGCTAGGCTTTGGATTAGTCCCACCAGATGGCATGAAGAGAGCAAAAGTGCTTCATATTGATATAGAAGTCAGGAGTCTATCTTTCAGTTTCAATTTTTATTTCAGTTCCATCATATTTTTTCTTTCCTTCACATTTGCTTTTCTATTACGGCCCACCATCTCGTTTTCCATCGTTTTTATTCTGTAAATTTGAAAGTGCCTGCAAATGCTGGTTCCTTCTTCCTGGCTCCATATTTTTTCCGCTCTTGAAGGCGTGGCCGAGGCGGTAGTGGGTCGGCAGTGCTCCCACTTTGCAGGCTTTTGATTTGGGGCCACATTCAAGGGTGCGCGAACTTAGTGGTAGCACCACCGACTCGTCCACTTTCGCCGCGGCCACGCCTTCAAGTGTGAAAATAGTCAGCCGTTATTCTCTCATTTTTGAGCTTATTTGCACCAATATTCAGGGATGATTGGCCGAATATGGCCCCACGCCAGCTCTGGTCTGCCTGCTTTGGCCGCGAGCGCTCCATTCGTCGTTCAACGAGCTGCTGTTCATCATCATATGGAGCGAGGGGATCTGGCAAGATTTCTAGGAATTAAGCGATCTAATACGGCACGAGCTAATCGAAATACACACGTTAACGAAAAGATGTTCAGAAGGGTACGTCAAAGACCATGTTATATTTTTCTTATTTTTTCGCTCTTCTTTATAACTTTGATTTATACGTATCAAATTTATGTATCTGAAGAAGTACTTCTCGAAAGCCGAGCTTCGCAGTTTGGGAGAGTTTGGTTAAGTGTGTAGAAGTAAAACATGGAACAATGGCGGCGCTCAAAATTTGACCCGCTCCGGTCCATGACGGCGTAGGGCGTTTCGCTAAAGGGATGGGAAAAGAGCACGACGCAGGTAATTCGCTTTCTTTCGTTCACCTTTTCTTACGTGGAATTTGGCGCTCATCTAGCAAGCAAGGGGCATTACGGTGCAAATTTTCTAAGCGTTCCCTTTCCTTTCATTAGCGTTTCACTTTTTTTTCAGGGGAGGGGAGACTCCAAAGCGCTTGAGTAATTTTCAGTTTTTGCGGAGTTCTTCATTCCATTTAGGCCTAGTCCTAGATGTATGAGAAGCTGGTTCACGTTGCTCACAGTCGCTTTAGTGCTCTATCCAGTATTAGAACCCGCGCGACAGACATTCAAAGAATGGTGCAGGAATGAAGTCGCTAGCACTTTTTACCCTACGAGGACTCCTTGAGCAAAATAGGTAATTAAGAAATTCACACGATCTGTTGCCCCGCTCTACTGGAAAAAAGATTTCCCTAGATCTTCGCTAAAATCCCATTGCCTCCGCTCTCGGTGGTAGATATCGCGATCTTTGCCATTGTTTTCAAATTTAGCGAGTTCCTATCTCTTATGATCCAGCAACATGTGCGTGGTTTCAGCGACTCCACTGTGACCGTCCTGTGCACTGTTTGTAATGTGGTATTTAGTTTTGTATCTCTGGCCATTAATATTCAGGGAGACATCACTATGCTAATACTTTTACATTGTGCAAGGTTTACGAATTTTAGGGTGCATGCATAGTCGGTCGCTCGATCGTAACGATCGCACAGCCTTAGATACGTATCGGTCGTCACATCCGCGGACACGTACGACGATCGATACGCATCCAATGGCCGATGTCAGACTTTGCGATTGGAGCGATTGTGCACCAATTGCAGGAGCGACGGGAGATTTACACCGCCGACCACCGATACACACGGCGCCGCTCGGGTAAATCTCCCGTCGCTCGCACTTTGGAGCGACGGATCGCTCAAGCGATCCATCGCTCGGGCCGTGATGTGCCTCCTTGGCCGTTGTGGCAGGGAGCTGCGAGCGACGGGAGATTTACGAGCTGATGGCGCCGAATTATCGGTGGTCGGCCGTGTAAATCTCCCGTCGCTCCTGCAATTGGTGCACAATCGCTCCAATCGCAAAGTCTGACATCGGCCAATGCTGTGCGATCGGACGACCGACTATGAATGCGCCCTTACAGAGCCTTAATGTTCATTTCCATTATTTTTTCTTCGCATGGCTCCCACCCTATCTTATATGTTTTTTTTTGAGAAGTAAGTTTGAAAATTCTGTTTGTTTTGAATTAGGGCGTGCGAAAAAACAGATCCCTACGTTCGGCTTAAGATTATTGGAGTGTTTATTTTATTACTAACAGTATGCTGTAACTGAGCTATTTTGTACTATTACTACTCACCACCTTAAATTGTTAGGAAACTGTAGGAGTGACATTCCTAAAAATACGGAAAAGCCTCACATCAATTAAAGGTTGAGTTCTTGTTAATAGCCTTTTTAACTTGATAATCGGTGTCCTTGTTATAGTTACGCGGACGAAAAACAGTTATGATAGATCTTCCGGATGACGAGGAACGACGTCGTCATGATAATTTGACGCCATCCGAATTGCGGGTGGAGCTTCTGCGGAAAGGGATCAATCCATACAAAGAAGTTCAACCACGTATATGGCAGGAATCGCAAACCACAATGCAGTCGTTCTGTCAGTAAACTTTCTAGCGAGAATTAATCCAGTGATTCGTTTTCTTTACTTTTTATTTTCAGATGCGGTAATCGATCCATTTGTTACTCCAGAAGAGACGCTGCCTTTCCTAACCGGTAGCGTTGATGGTATGAAGTTAAAAGGAGAAGAACTGAAGGTAATGTTTCTCCTTATATTGATATTTAATCACTTTCCATTGTTTCATCATTTTCACTTAATTTATTTTCTTTTTGTTTCCTTGCCTTTTCATGTCGATTGTGATGAGATTTCAATAGTTTTTAGCAACGAGCACTGCACAGATATCATAACTGGCGAAATGGCACAAGTAGAATACGAAAGAAGGAAGGATTTGAAAAATTTGATCCCAAGGTTTGTGTTTTTTCTGTCGCCCCGCTTTGTTTTTCTGTTCTCTCTTCAGTTAGTAGACTTCGAATATTCCAGACTTTTGGTCCAACAGCTGATCTCATTTATGAAGAAGCACACCAAGCTCTCATGAAAAGGGATAAGCCTGCATTACATAAAACTATTACTGAGCATGCTTTTAAGGCAAGTGGCGTACGGAATTGATTTTTTTCTGAACTTCAATATCCCATTCTTCATCACCTTCATTACCTTTACTTCAATATTTCATTATTTTATAGAAAATGTGGCCGGATGTGGAAAACGGATCGATTCAATGGGAACTAGTGGAACGGCTAGAGCCAAGCACTGTGAGCTTTTTCCGTTGTTTGTGGTCTACATAAATACCATTTCTCGTACAAACCTTCAACCGGGTAACCTTTGAATGACAGGGTTAACCGTGGTGCTTGGCCGGCCCCAAAAATCTTTTAGACCCCTTCCCTCTCTGAAGGGTCTCGGTATGACCCCCTATCACCGCACATGATGTCATGGTGCCATGAATGCAACCCACTCCCCCTTCCCCACACCATCTCACTTGAGGACGTCACCCAAAAACAGGACCTCCTTTCCTTACTTTCATCTCCACCGCCCTCAGAACTACGGCTGTTTTTATAGTATTTGATTTTGAAACCACTCGACACACTATTTTCGCCCATTTTTTCCTCTGGGGATTGGGTAGATATGTTTCAGGAAAAGGCAGGTGCCCTAGCTTGGTGTATTTCATGCTTTTTTATCACAAAGATCTTGTCAAAATTTACAAAAAATTGTTCAAAAATAAACCCCTCAATTTCCAAGAGAAAACGGCTCCCTCGACCTTTTGACCTTTGTCAACCACAACTACGGCCCGCTTCCACGAATAATACCCCAGTCTAGTTTGGTTTGAGCGTTGAAAAGGTTGACTCTGGTCTGAAGCACATGGAAGGCGAACACGGAGCTGTGCTTTTTTTCAGCTGATGGTATCCTGTTACAGTAGATAGTTCGTCTACTGTATTCTCATCTTTCTAGTATTCGTGTAAAAACCACGCGAGCACGTTTTATGTGTTGCGTAAGCAACGATTCATTGCAACTTATTTTCTACAACGCTCCTTGTTGCTAAACCACTGTTTATACTTAATTTCCTAGTTCCTGCGTGTTTTCCAAATTTAAATCCACTAGGGTTGTCGGTAGAACCAGGTCAGACATATTGTGACGTTATGGATTAAATTTCAGGTGGTGTCTGTTCGGTGTGGAGATAACCCGTACAAATCAGGGAATGACATTGCTCAAGTAACGGTGCGAATGCACACCAAGCAGGTAGCGTTTACAGTCGATATCTCGAAGTCAGATTAGGCGTGGCTATGGATTTGACGTGGCCGTTGCCGCACTTGGAAGCCGTGTGGATAGGCTGTTTCTAACGTACTCCATTGGATATCAGCAAAGCATGCTGGAAGCAGCTTATCCGCGCAACTTCCATCAAGTGCGGCGGCCGCCACGTCAAACCCATAGACACGCCTAATCTGACTTCGAGATATGGAGTATAGATGCGTATCAATTACTCTCTCATTGAAAGGAGTCATTTCGTGTAAATCAGTTTCATATTAAATACTGGATCATTTTTGTATTATTCCTTGAGTATCAGTGGTTACGTACAACCGCAATTATCTCTTCCAACTTGTGAGGATTTCGGTCAATACCAATATCACTGATCTCGTTTTAGAAGCTGGCCGTATACGATCGTTTCGGGCATTTGCTACTTGGATCAGAAACGGAACCACGGGAAGTAGTGGAATATGTAGTGTTCGAAAACCACATTGCAGTAGTAGATGGAATGTGGCGCTTACATGACAAGGTTTATCCGAGATGGGTGCAACCAAAACAAGGTCCACTGATCACGCATGCTCTTAGTAAGTTCCAATTCAAACTTGATTCTTTTTTTCGTCGATATTTTCCTCCTCTTTATATGGCGTCACTAAATTAGTTCTTTATATTTATACAATTTTATAATTGATAAAATGAAAGTTGCAATAGTGGCAGAAGTATAACATTATAATGAAAGTTGCAATTTTTCACTGCAATTCAGATGGTGAGCGTAGATTATTCTATTTGTTGATCATAACCATTGCTTTCGTCCTTGTGTCAAAATGTATACTTTTCTTTTTTTGCGTTTTTTCAGTGAAGTAACGCCTTAAAATTTGTTTTTGCTTCCAGTACTAGTATCGAGGCCGCTCCTATCCTTCCTCGGGACG